ACAATAAAGCAACACCTTGAAACTATCGCTAAAGTAATATTTAAGTCTGACATGTACTCTTTGTTACCTGAAGATACGGATGTGGGCCATTTTTGATGGCACTACATATTTAGGCCAAATGATGGCGCCAGTACCCTTTCTGTCACTTCGATGTCTCCGGATGCTGACTTCATCGGTCCAATCCCAAACCAGGAATATGCTCTACCGCTTCACTATCTAGTGTCATCCCAAATGAAGTCATAATTACAGCTGCGAAGGGCGCTTTGTTAAAAAGTGAAGGGTATAAAAGAAATAGGACGCCCTCTTCTCTCCACAGGAAAAGGAAACCATTTGTTGCTATGGTAAGACAGACACACACCTTGTGCATGACTGTAGCTGTCAGTTGCAACATTTGAAATGTTACTTTAGATTAAGTTTTCACATGATGCAACTTTGGGGATGTGTAGGAGAGTGGTTTGACTTTAACTTTTAACAGGAATATTGTCATTCTAAAGAAAAAAAAAATCCATGAGAAACTGATAGAAATGTAAAACTTGTTGAAATCTTCCCCCATTCACCTTACTTCAAATGGGGGGTTTGAGTGATTCCATAACGTTTCCCACAGTGATTTCTGTTGGCAATGTTATTTTCCTAACAAAACTCTGTTCTCTGGGTTGACATGAAATCACATATTTGTCCTGTTCTTAAAAATAAATCCATAAAGACAAATACACAGGCATACGTTTTGAAAGACTGGTTCTACATGTCCCCACCACTTTTGGCCTGCCGGGGACACTCCCCACCAATAATTTGCACGCTTATTTTTATTTCCGTTCATTTAATTTAGCCAACAGATACTGGAGGCGGGTGCAGTTGTCTGACTTCAAAGCTTTTTCAGTCTGCCTTTTTTCATTCTCTCCTGCTGCTGCTGAGTCCCACCTACCTGGTGTAATATCACTGTTTCTGTCCAGAACCGTGTAGGTAAGACTCCTTACTCTATGGCCCTGGATCTGGCATTTTATAGATATAATATGATTGATTGAGGTTCTTCACTGTGTACATAGTATAGATGAGACAACACATAGTAGCGGTAAATTTAAACAGGCAGCTTCTTAGCATTTTATTTTGAAATAAGGAGATGAGCTGGTTAAGATGCCACAAAAAAAGCCGGTAGACATACAGAGCTTTTTCAGAAAAAAAACAAACACTGAACAGCAACAGTGTTTATGCTAGACATGTTAGTATTATAAGGATTTAAATTTGACAGAACGTACATTTAAATGTTGAGCTCCTCTTCTGTACCAACCAGCTCAGATGCAGAGCCAGAATCACAGCTGAATTAAAATTAAAATCTAAGAGACCTACATGTCTCGAAGCACAAACTATGCAGTAAAATCAGTGAATTAACCATTTAAAAAAAACTGTCAATACCCAGACATTGATAAAGACAAAACTCAAAAATTGATTTTGCTGCTTGTAATAATCACTGGTACATCAGAAAGAGAAGCTATCCATCTTTCTATGGGAGTGATAGGCACTGGATTGCTAATAGGCCGTTGGTAGTATGAACTCACCAGCCGCCATATTGGTACTCCCTTTTTAGACCAGTTGGAATGTAAACAATATGTGCGCTACAGCATAGAAAGAACAACGATGATTTTCTCATTTTCAGGGGGGCTTAACCTCTTACACCCTAAGGGGGTATAAATAAATTTCTGCCTGACAAAAACACACAAAAGTAAATAACTTATAGCCTCAAAGCTATTAGATTTAAGAAGAAACTTTTGGTACGTCTGTAAAGGTAAGATGTCATAGAATGGTTTTCTGGTGTCAGCACCATTGTAGCTTTGACCCTGCCTGAAATATTAGGGACAAAATACAAAATATTTTGCATTTTTTGAACCTCGCTAAAATTTTCTTTGAAATAAACATTGCAAAACACTAATAAAATATTATTTATAGCACAAAAAAGTAGTACAGACTTTCAAATCTAAATGTTGTGTAAAAATATACAAAATGTGGACTCAATCAGATGAATCATATTTATTTTAGAATGGTATTAGTGAGAAATTTCTTAGGCGGAGAGGCCATTTTGGCACATTTATCCATAAAGGTCACCAAACTGTGCCAAATATGTTTTTTACATCAATACTGGGGGTTTGGTAAAACTACGAGGTCATGTAGCAGCTGGACCCGCCGGTGGGTCCGTAGGGTTCAAGGGGTTAAGACCTTTAAAATAAAGATAAAGCCATCACTTTGACACACACTTGCTGTTTAGCATAAGTAGATTGCTGTAATTTATGGTAAGAAATAGGCACATCACAATGCATATTCCATATGAAGTCAAGGATGTCTATAAATGTACTATATTGTATTATACAAATCCATTTTAGTGTGTTAATGGATCCCAATAACACTATAGTCAGATATTAAGAATATTACAAACGCACTCACACTATATGATGAAGTGCCAAAAGTGCTAAATTGATGATGTACATCAATGTACATGTATTGATTACATTGTTATGGAAATTACATAGTAATTACAACATTAATTGTGAAACTGGGAAGTACAGTACCAAGATGGTGGCAGGTGACTTCAGTTTTTTTCGGTCTATCAGCAGTCCAGTGAATAAATAGAGGTCAGTGGTTTTTGTTCCTCACAGGAGAAATATGGTACTCTCCCTTCAGCGCTTATGATCGTGATTGGTCTGCTACCAAAAAACCCGTCTTTTTAGATGTGCATGTAAACAGATCGTGATCAATTCAAGCTGGATTGAGTTAGCAGGTTGATAACCAGTGTCGTGGTACTGCTGATCTGGATTACCATTGTTGAGGATTGGGTAAAACGGATAGACTGGAAGTAATTAAGCTACGTTGAGCTGGCTTCATGGGATGGGCCTCTGGCTTCCAAACTAAGTCAGTGTTATGAAAGATGCCCAAGTATTTGACCTCCTTTTTTACGTTTAAAATTTTATACAGCAGAATTTCAGTTATCTGATGGAGAAAACTACAAAAAAAATCTTAATCATCTTTATAATTTTAACAAAATACTGTATTTATCTCATTTTGTGTGTAAGTGTAATCTTTGTAAATAATCAAACCTGAAATCATGTTTTTACAAATTACTGCTGCTATCTATTTGATACTTTGCCCTAATATGTTTTGTATTAAGAAAATTGATATTTTAAATCAATTTTTATTAATTTTAATAAATGCAACTCCTTCACTATAAAAGCATAATATAACAACTGTCTTCTAACCTGTTTAACAATGTTTCCATCTCTTCCTCTCAGTCCAGCAAACAATCTACTTTAACACTCCGCTGTTGGTTAAAAGGGGAAGTTAGGCTCATATCACTTCCTTTCTTCCTCTCAGTGAGGTTAAAAACATGAACATTGCAGCTCTTTATTTGGTCAGCGTATTCAGAAGTTCTCCTCTGATCACTAACAGGACACTCTTCAGGCTGTTTAGAGCTAAATTTAAACATTAAATTCTGGATAAAATAATCCTGCATCTGAGGGCAGCTGAGTGAACCAGAGAGCAGAGATGAAGGCCGTCGTTGGAGTCTTACTGATTTTGCTCCGAGTCTCTCATGGTGAGGTTTTTATCTATTTTTACCCAGCACCACATTCATTCCTTTCCATTTAAATACCGGTAATATGTTTTAAAATGTTGATGTTTAAGTTTCTTTTCAACTGACAGTTTTGAAAACTAAGTTTCTTTGAGGGTGTAACATCTGAAAAGAAAAAGAAATAATAATAATAAAAAGAAAATCCAAACCTCTAATAGGATTGAAGTGTCCTATGACCATTCAGGCTAGTTTGATTTGCTTTCTTTATTATTATATAATGAGTACAGCTTAAATTGTTTGAATAAATAAATAAACATTACAGTTGATTTACAAAAAATATATTAATATATTTTAATTTCTTTCTTAGTTTTTCATCCTCTTACATTTCATGTAAAGTTTAAATTAAAACCGTTAACATAAAAGACAAATCAATTTAACATTACATTAAATATTTGTTGGACTAAAGATCCAGTGTTGAAATGTTAAAGGCTGTTCATTTTGTTAATTTATGTTTTTGAAGAAAACATAAATTATAAGGTTTCAGCATTTGTTGTATTCACGATTATTTTAAACTGAAATGAATGTGGGCGTTTTTGGACTCTGCAAAGAAAAAAGAAATTTGACAGATTTAGCTATAACTCCCTTCTGATTGGCTTTTAAACAGGATTATTCATCTTAGTTAAATCCTAATCAGCTATGAAGAAATGTGTATTTTTTTCTCTCCATATAGCAGTAATGAGCTGAGCAGCACCTTTAGTTTAATTTACTGCAGTTTTTTGAAACAATTTGAGTTTTGGGCACAGAAACAGATTCTTGAATCTGAAATGGTAAATGACCTGTACTTATATAGCGCTTTTTTTCAAGTCAGGAGACTTGACCAAAGCGTTTTACATTACATTCAGTCATTCATCCATTCACGCACGCATTCACGAAATAAATAATCACAATTCTGTAAATCACTATCTCATTCTGTTTTAAGTTAAAGTGCCGCTGCTTGAAGCTCTTTGCTGTTTTTCCATCACAGCTGTGTTTCATGCTCAGCTGTTGGACAATAAATGGTTAAAGTCACTGTGATGTCAGGCAAATACAAATATTAGTGATAGTGGACAAAAGAAGCCCATGATTTGTTAAGGATTAAGTACGTTATTTATTTTCATTGAAGATAATGATTAATATTATTCTTTAAGGTGCAGCTGTTTCCTGTGATGGCCGACAAGATGGAGCTCAGTATTATGGAGCTTTGGGAGGATCAGTGGAGCTTCCACTGGAGAGTGACGTCTCACAATTACGCAGTGTTGAATTAACAAAGAATGGCAGTGTATTTAAGGGGTATACCAACAAACCTATAGTAAGCTTGGAGAACGGAAAAATTCTCTTTTATTCAAATAATGGATCATTTAGGATCAATGACCTGAAGATGAGTGACAGCGGTGAATATCAACTTAAAATGTTTGGTGGAGATGGGAAGGAAACAAGATCTAGAACTTTGCAGCTCTGTGTTCAAGGTAATCCACTGTTTATCTTCTACCTTTTTACATTTTCTGCTCTTTGTTTTGTTTCCACCACTTTAAATGTTGTAGAAAACATGGTACTGACACTAGATACAGACATCTTTCAACAGCCTTCAATATAAATTCTGTATCTTTCCCGTTTTCTATCAAAAGGTTAAAAAGATATTTCTTGTAATCAATGTGTTTTTCTCTCTCAGCTCCTGTGTCGTCTGTAAAGCTGGTCCATCAATGTTGGCCCCCGGGACAGATAAAGGTGTCCTGTCTCTCTGAAGGGGACAGTCCTCAGTACAGCTGGACTCTGGATGGAAAAACACCGACAGACTCTGAACTTCTCTCTGGAAATAATCAGACTAAAATCATTGTTCTAAAACCAAATATCTCAGGGCTTCTTTTCTGCTCAGTCAGGAATCAAGTCAGTTCATCCTCCAACGAGATCAACATTCCTGACTGTGGTGAGTGAGAAAAATATGATAAACTAGTTGATGGTTACAATCCTACATGACATATTGTCCTGTTTGCTTCTAGGCTTCCTATTTATTAACTGCACCGTCAATGGGACAACAATAGCTAAATGGGTGTATAAAGAAAATAACACCCTGTGTGTTGAACCAACAACTGGCCCTCCAACAGTTAAACATAGTAGTGTGGGTAAGGAGACACAGACAATTTCCTTACCTCATAATCCTGACAGCAATGATCAACCTTGGTACATTAGTAAGTGAAAATTAAACTCTGATGTGGTTGTTTGTGAATAATACCCTTTTCCATTTTTTAAGTCTTCATAAATCCTGTAGAGTAACTCTGGCCTTAAAGATCTGTGCTTGTCTGATATTTACTTGTTTTTAAACAGGGCTATTGCCAATAATAGCTGGCGTTCTCACAACATTGGTAATTATCTTGGTGGTCTGCATCGCATTCATCTGTTACTTCAAGAAAAAGAAAAGCCCCAGAGGTAAACAGTACAGCTTTCTACTTGGTTATTGATTCAAGAACAGACCTTATAATTCATCAGCTTTACAATTTTTTTGCTTTTCAGCGGTGGAGGAAGATGACCAGGAACTGACCTATGCTGATGTAAGGGTTGTGAAAAATCAGGGAAAGAAAGTGGAGCTAAGTGCGGACGTTGATGTGGAGTACGGCCAGGTCAAGTTTTCAAAGAGACAGAGACCAGAGCGGGCTAACCCAATAGTCGAGGATACTTTATATGCACAAGTAAACAAAGGAAGGTGATTTAAAATGTCCAACAAGCCTATTTCTGCATGTTACCTAAAAGACTTTTCTTGGATTACCTGTTAAAAATACAAGTCAGGAGCTTTTTAATGGAGGCATGGGCAGCTGTCTCGCCTTCCACACAGTCTGGGCCTCAAATTCCCCACCTTATATCCTCTTTCTGTCTTTTACACCGATGAATGAAGGACAGTATTACCACAAAAAAAAAAAAAAACTTTAACAGAGTGACTTATTATACCTGAAGCTGCTTTTTTGTCAAAGCATTGATTAATTTGTGTTTGAACTCATCATAAAAGCGATGCCTGCTTCTTTATGATGAAAGTTTTTGAGCTACAACATGTAAAAAAAAAACACTTGAAATTAAATTTTTTCAGTTGTTTTTATTTTGAAATTGTATTTACATTAGTAAATTATTGTTACATCAACACATTAAAATATCTTTATGTAATACTTTTTAATTTAATACCTGTTTGATAAATAGTACTTGTAAATAATACTATATTACCAAAGCGACTCATTTTGTGTTTATGTATATCTGACTGTATACTTTCAACCATATAAAAAAAAACTATATCTGCATAATATACTCTTCATTGTCTGTACAGTACTAAAATAAAATATCTTTGGCCAAAATCAGCCATACATTTGCAGCTTGTGAGCGACTCTGTGATCATATCTCCATTTGGTATCACAGTAGACGAAGAAAAGAGAGAAATACTTGGTCTCCTGGGAAGTTTTGTATGTAAGTCTCCATGACGTAAGATCTTTAACGCAATGATACTTCAAATTATGGTGAATACTAAACTGTTTTACCTACGCTGTCCTACACTACATAAGAAACCAATGTAATCTATTTTATCTAATTATTGTTTTAGTTTAGTTTTACTCTATTTAGCAGAATAACTGTCTGATGAAACACAGGTTTCCATCTTTCACACACAAGCAAACACCCTCCTACACATACAGGTGCTGGTCATAAAATTAGAATATCATGAAAAAGTAGATTGATTTCAGTAATTCCATTTAAAAAGTGAAACTTGTATATTATATTCATACATTACATACAAACTCATATATTTCAGATGTTTATTTTGTTTAATTTTGATGATTACAAATGACAACAAATGAAAATCTCAAATTCATCATATCAGAAAATTAGAATATTACTGAAGACCAATAAAAACAAAGGATTTATAGAAATGTTGGCCAACTGAAAAGTATGAACATGAAAAGTATGAGCATGTACAGCACTCAGTATTTAGTTGGGCCTCCTTTGGCCTGTATTACTGCAGCAATGCGGCATGGCATGGAGTCGATCAGTCTGTGGCACTGCTCAGGTGTTATGATAGCCCAGGTTGCTCTAATAGTGGCTTTTAGCTCTTCTGAATTGTTGGGTCTGGTGTATTGCATCTTCTTCTTCACAATACCCCATAGATTTTCTATGGGGTTAAGGTCAGGAGAGTTTGCTGGCCAATTAAGAACAGGGATACCATGGTCCTTCAACCAGGTACTGGTAGCTTTGGCACTGTGTGCAGGTGCCAAGTCCTGTTGGAAAATGAAATCTGCATCTCCAAAAAGTTGGTCAGCTGCAGGAAGCATGAAGTGCTCTAAAACTTCCTGGTATGTGGCTGCGTTGACCCTGGACCTCAGAAAACACAATGGATCAACACCAGCAGATGACATGGCACCCCAAACCATCACTGACTGTGGAAACTTTACACTGGACTTCAAGCAACTTGGATGAAGTGCCTCTCTTCTTTTCCTCCAGACTCTGGGACCTTGATTTCCAAAGGAAATGCAAAATTTACTTTCATCAGAGAACATGACTTTGGACCACTCACCAGCAGTCCAGTCCTGTTTCTCTTTAGCCCAGGCAAGACGCTTCTGACGCTGTCTGTGGTTCAAGAGTGGCTTGACACAAGGAATGCGACAGCAGAAACCCATGTCTTTCATACGTCTGTGTGTGGTGGTTCTTGAAGCACTCACTCCAGCTGCAGTCCACTCTTTGTGAATCTCCCCCACATTTTTGAAGGGGTTTTGTTTCACAATCCTCTCCAGGGTGCGGTTATCTCTCTTGCTTGTACACTTTTTTCGACCACATCTTTTCCTTCCCTTCGCCTCTCTATTAATGTGCTTGGACACTGAGCTCTGTGAACAGCCAGCCTCTTTAGCGATGACCTTTTGTGTCTTGCCCTCCTTGTGCAAGGTGTCGATGGTCGTCTTTTGGACAACTGTCAAGTCAGCAGTCTTCCCCATGATTGTGTAGCCTATAGAACTAGACTGAAAGACCATTTAAAGGCTTTTGCAGGTGGTTTGAGTTAATTAGCTGATTAGAGTGTGGTACCAGGGGCCATCAATTTTGAACCTTTTCACAATATTCTAATTTTCTGATATGATGAATTTGAGATTTTCATTTGTTGTCATTTGTAATCATCAAAATTAAACAAAATAAACATCTGAAATATATAAGTTTGTATGTAATGTATGAATATAATATACAAGTTTCACTTTTTAAATGGAATTACTGAAATCAATCTACTTTTTCATGATATTCTAATTTTATGACCAGCACCTGTAAATGGAGAACTGAAAGGTTAAGGTTCTTTTAATATTCAGCACATTTGGTTTAAGGGGAAGTAATATCAAACAGCATGTCAGACAACAGAGGAGAGGTGGTGTTTGCCTTTCAAAGGGCTGAAGTTATTCTTTCTATATTTAATCAAAAGAATACTTGTGGTTTCCATTTACGAGAACAGTAATGTATGGATCATATTTTAGATCTCTACTCTGCATCAGATGTAGTTAAAGTGCGTAGCAGTTAAAGTTTATTCAGGTGGGTTAAGAAAAAAAAGTAAGCTATCAAAGCCTATTTTAAACAATCTCTTTAAATCAGGACTCAAAATGAATTGTACAAATACAATAATATAACGGGTACATTTTAAATACTTGGATGAAAACTCTTTGCTGGTAATAACAGTTGGAAGTCTTGAACTACTGGACATCAGCAACCCCTGGGTTTGCTCTTTTTCAGTGCTCTGTCAGTCAGGGCCGTAACTACAATTGAGGACACAGAGGTTATGTACCATGTATTATTTGTAACTTATATATTTTGTGATATATATAAACTTTTAGTATAAATTAATGTAGGACGATGATCTAGGTCTCCCACAAAACTGTGGGGTGTTTATATTTGGAGAGCCAAGAATAGTGCAACTGTGTAATTAAAGAAAAGTGCTCGAGTGTTTGGGCATAAGTGCTGTGCACCACCAACCTGCACTGTCACTATAGTAACTGCCACACACAGGCCATAGATGCCGTAAGTCAGTCTGTCACTCACCGCAGTCACTGGGAGAGGAGCATGTCGAGCTACAAATGCAGGTGGAGTGCAGTTTAAGTTGTAGATGACAGTGAGGAAAAAGAAACATTTCCATGAGAAAAGATTTCAGCATAGAAAGCTATTCAGTCAGCAAGGAAACATAGAACCAAAGTTGATTTTACTCCTTCTCTGACAGTCGTCAGTCTATTTCCAGCAGTTGAATCAACATTCATAATGTGATCAATGTGTTAGCGACTCCTGGAAATGAAAACTTAATGTTTATTCATCATGGGTTTCTCAGTCTTGGATGTTGAACCTGTATGTATGTATGTATTGGATCAGTGCAGCAAGTTGGTACAGATCAGATCAGGCGGGACAGGAAGCTGTGGGCAGAAGCAAAATAGACCATGTGGTTAATTTTCAAAATAAAAGCCTAAATAATTTTCTGTGGTAACTTGCCCTCACTTCAAGGGTCACCATATTAGTCCATCAAAAAGCCTCAATATGCCCCATTTTTATTTAGTGCTGTAATGTTGCAAAACAAACCAGACTCTTTCTCAAGGTTTATTCATAACATGTTACTGTTAACCAAAGTGTCTGTAATTTGTTTTGACTCTGACTACTTTTCACTTGTTGTAAGTAAGGAGGAACGAACGCTGCTCATACAGAACAGGGCAGAATGTTGTGCCATAAGTGCTGTATGATGAACTGTTCTCTCTTTGCAAGGATATGAATAAATGTGCCGACTGAGTGAAATCCATCGATCCTCGTTTATCTAACTAGGGTGAATAGTTGAACACTTTTTTCCAACGACAGTACGAATCAGCCATTAGAGACCTTATTATTGCTAGGACTCATACTTGGCCTTCAGCATGTACTGCTAGCATTATAAGGCCACGAATAAGGATATATAAGGCAGTACAGCTGCTTCTCTATTTGGCAAGCCAGCCAGAATTCTACATTTTACATTCTTACATCCTTAAATAGGTTAATTTCCTAGCTATCTGTATGGAGCCAAATAATAACTGTAAACAGATCTATGCAGGGTGTGCAACAGCAGGGATTTGTTTAATTTAAATATCAAACTTTAGACAAATAAGATGAAAAGTTCATTACTTCTGTCTTCAATACGTAAAAGCAAACAAAGCACCTTAAGAAGTTAATTCAGGAATATTACACAAATGGGAGATTATATAATCTATGTGCATAAACTGTCGAATAAATTCTAGATCTAGATGTCTTTATAAATGTTCTTATAAAGCACAGAAAGTCAGAATGCAGATTGTATTTACAAATAATGTAAGGATGGCACTCAACTTGCTTTCAGAGGAAAAGATTTTTTTTTTTTTTTTGTGCTTATATTGTCCTATTTACTATAGTGCTATAATCTTTAATGTTTCTTACTGTTCTTGTGCATGAAAACCGTGGTTAACAAAATTGGAACAGAAGTCTAAGATAATAAGAGACAATATTTTCAGTGTTTATTTTTAGGGCAAAGATCACTAAATTGCCCCTAGATGATGCCTCCACCCCGTGACAAAATGGTTGAGCCCAGGTACGCAACACAGTCTGAGAACAACGCCTGAAAGCCGAGAGTGGTTTGTTTATATTAAGTGTTTAAGGGTTGCATTGTAAATTCAAATTATTATTTTACTCATGTTTTTCTTTCCTTCTGTCATTAACATATAATTGGGGGATTGATGCACTTCAAGCAAAAAAGGACCAATGAACTCTTTGATGAGAAGGACCTTACAGAGGAATAAAAAAGTGTCATGGTTCTGGTTATGTTGTGCTTTACTTTGCTCCTTGTTTTCTAGTTTTATTGGTTTAATTCCTATTTTGTTGTAATTTCTAGATTTATGTTCTCATGTTTTTTTGTTGTCCTCTGTTGTCCTCTG